CTGGTTTTGGTACCAAGATAATGCTTACTTCCAGGATAAATTTGGAAGAGTTGCTTCCCTCTCAATTTCATTAAAGAGTTTGAGAAATAGCAGTATTAGGTCCTCTCTAGAATTCTTGCAGAGTTCAGCAGTGCTTAGTTTTTCTTTGTTGGTAGGTTTTTAATTATATCTTTAATTTTATTGATTGATATTGGTTCACTTAGAATTTTTGTAACTTTTTGATTTAACTTTGGTAATTCATACGTATCTAGGAATCAGTCCATTTATTCTGCATTTTCCATCTTATTAGGATACAAATTCTCAAAGTAGGTATAGATGATCTTCTGGATTTTTGCAAGGTCTGTTGTGACTTCACCCTTCTCATTCCTAATTATATGGATTTGAGTCTTTTCCTTTTTTGATAAGGTTGACTAAGGATTTGTTGATTTTTATTTTTCAAAGAACCAACTATTTGATTCATTAATTCTTTGTACTCTTAGTCTCCATTGCATTAATTCTATAATTTCCTTCTTTGTATGATGTTTGGGCTTGACTTGCTCTTCTTTTTCCAGGCACTTAAAAGTTAAATATTAAGTTATTTATTTGAGCTTACTTTGTTTTCCTGATATGAGTATTCACCACTCTAAATTTCCCTCGTAGAACTTTATGTCCCATGAGTCCTGATATGTTGCATTGGCATTATTGTTTAATTGTAGAAATGGTCTATTTTCTTCTTTAGTTTCATCTGTGACCCACTGGTTTTTCAAAAGGGCATTATTTAATTTCTATGTGTTTATGAAGTTTTTGTGGTTTCTTTCACTATTCATTTCCAGTTTTATTGCAGTATGTCTGATAATATGTATGGGATAATTTTAATTGCTTTGCATTTACTTATGCATGTGCTATGAGCTAGTATGTGGTCTACTTTGGATAATAACTCATGTGCAGTTGAGAAGAATGTGTATTCTGATGTTGTGGCCTGCAACACTGTAGACATCTACTAAGTTCATTTGTTCAAAAGTTTGGTTCAGATGTTTCTCTGTTGATTTTTTGTTTAACTGATCTGTCTATTTGTGTAATGAGGTGCCCCATTACAATTGTATTAGTGCTTATTTGATTTTTTGTGCCCATTAATTTTTTTATATACGTGGGTGTACTGGTGTTTGTTGCATATATATTTATAATTGTTGTCTCTTCATCTTGGACTGTTTCCTTTACAAGAATGTAATGATGTTCCTTGTCTCTCTTAACTAGTCTTGGATTGAAATTCACTTTGTCTGCAAATAGAAAAACCTCTGCTTTTTTGGTAGTTCCTGCCACGTGGAACATTGTTTTCCATTCTTTGACTTTCAGTCTATTGATTTCTTTTTTAATTAAATGTGTTTCTTGTAAGTAGCATATTGTTGGATCTTGCTTCTTGATCCATTCTGCCACATTCTATGTCTTTTGACTGGTGAATTGAGACCACTAACATTAATGGTTATAACTGATATATATTGACTTATTCTTGTCATTTCATTTTCCTGCTATTGCCTCACCTTTTCCTCTCCCTCTGTTTAATTGTTTGCCTTGCATGGTGGATTCCTTGCATTTGGGTTCATGGAGTTAGAGTCCTTGTTATCTCTTTCTAGCATATCCTTCAGAGCATTTTGGAGTGCTAATTTGATGTTTATGAATTTCCATAGATATTCTTTGTCATGGAAGTATCTTATTTCTCCATCAATGTTGAAAGATGGTTTTGTGGGGCACATCAATCTGGATTAGAGGTTGTTTTCTTTTAGACCTTGAAATACTTCACTCCAATTTCTCCTTAATTTGAGGGTTTATGTTTAGAAGCCTGGTGTGATTCTGATTCTGGGCTTTCTTTATAGGTGATTTGTTTGTTTGTTTGTTTTTTCTCTAATAGTTTTTAGTATTCTGTTCCTGTGTTAAATTTCTCAAATCTTGACCATTATATTCCTTACTTTAGATTTTTTATCATGGCTAATTGTAGTTCTATATTCCTCATTTACCTGTATGTCTTTTTCTCTGCTTGGGAAGTTTTCTGCCATTTCTGTGAATGGGTTTTTTATGTTGTTTGTGCTGTCTCCTGCTTTTTCATTGACTCTGATCAATTTTATGTTATTCTTCTTTATATCCTCTAGCAGCTGTTGGATTGATTTTACATGCCCCTTGCTATTTTTTTATGCCTCTTGCTATTTTTAAGAAATCTTTTTTTTCATGATCACTAACTGCAATCTTGTCTCCTATGTCTGATATTCTGTCCCACATTCATTCATTCTTCTGCTTATATTTTTAATGGAATTTTTAATCTGTTAAAATTGTTTCATGGATTCCATCTCTTTCCTATGTTGGCATTCATTTTCCTAAGTGCCTCTATTTTGTATTTGTATCTGCTCCAGAGTCACTATGTCTTTCATTATGTTCACCATCTCCGAAATTGTCTGAAAAATTATTTCTAATTTGATATTTTTCTAGAGCCTATTCATCTGCTTTGTTACTTCCACTGTTACTACTTCAGAGAGTCCAGGTGGGTGTTTTTGAATTGTTCCACTTCCTTACCACCTGGGTTTGTCTTTGGTGCGCTGGAAGTCTAGGGTTGCATCTTGCTTAACTATCTTCTCATTTTTTGTAGTTTAACTCCTGGGTTGATGCTTATAGATTGCTTATGGCACATGGCTTTATTGCTAGCATATAGAACCCTTGGGAAATGACTTCCTATCAGAGATGTCTTCTAGGTAAAGCTGACTTCTGGGTTCTGAGTCTGTTGCAAGATCTTGTCTCTTCAATTTATTGGGGAGAAGAAGTTGCTGCCTATTTGGCCCAGCCCCTGGTTCTTTGGCACTAAAGTATCATATTGTTTATGATCCTTAAGCAATCTCAATCCTGACATACCAGGAAGAACAACTGATTAGAACAATTATGTCACCTTGGTTAAAGTAGTATAATCAGCAATAACAATAGCATGAAACACAGCCTAGAAAATGACAAACTGTAGTAACTTTTAATTTGCCACTTTCAACAATGAACTAGATTTGTGGTTATATAACAAAACCTAAAATAAACCAGAAGATTTTGTACAGTAAATATACTCTCAATATGGCAATTTTATGCTTAGTGAAGAAATTAAAAAGGGGTTGAGGAAAAATAGAGAAATAGAAGCGAGGAAGAGATTAAAAACAAAACTAGAGGACAAACTTTGGAAAACTTTGCAAACTTTGGAAAACTGATAAAGAAGACGGGGGGGAAGAGAGAAGAAATAAAAACAAAAAACAAAAGAAAAAGGAAAAAGTCCACTTCAAGGCACATCCCTGCTGTCACTGGTAGCAGCGTGGGCAGAGAGAGCCTAGATCTACCTTGCAAGCCCACACCTTTAGTTATTTTTTTTTTTTTTTTGGTCTTTTTCCTTTTTATCGGTACCAGGGATGGAACTCACAACTGCCTGCTTGCAAGGCAGATGCTTATGCCGCTGAGCTAAATCCCCAGCCCCCACACCTTTAGTTCTGCTGAAGTTCAGGCTGGTTTCTGGCTGTGAGGCTGGAACCAGATTTGTTCAGCCTGCAATACTCTGTGTGTCCCCTGCCAGCTTGAACTCAGCTCCTTGACTTCCTGCTGACTTGAGCTCAGTTCCACCTGACACTGACACTGGGAGTCACTAGATGAAGCCAGCCCACAGCTGCTCTGAGTTCCGAGCTCAGTGGGCCCCTCTCCAGGAGGGCTATAGGCCATCACCCTCCCCTGTGGGACATCTGAACCCAAATAACGCAGCAGTCAGTGCAGTCCACTGCATCCTCTGCTCCATTCCACTGGTGCATTTCTCTGGGGAGGACCTGGGGTCGCCAGCCGTTGCTGTGGGTCTGTGGGTTTGAGCCACCCTCCTGCACAGAGTGTCAGGGCTCAGGGAACCAGCCACCTCCTGTGGGAGGTCTCTCCCCTCACTCTCCTTGTGGGCATCATTTGTTGTTTCAGCTCCTTGCCAGGTCCCAGGGGCTCCCTTCACACCACCTTCCCTTCCTGTGTTACAATGTTCCAGCATCTGGACACCAAATCTCAGGCTGTTTCTCTGCTGGTCACCTTGCCACCATCTTCCCGGAGATCAGCTGTGCTGAGATACTAAATACAGTTATCTGCAGCTGCATATGTGAGCACAAATAAATCTCTTCTTGTAGACTTACATCTCAGAATTTCTTATCATGAAAATGCATACATTTCAAAATCAGAAAATATTCAAATTCCAAAACATCTCTGGTTCTAAGCATTTCAGATGAGAGGTGTGTGATCTGTTTGTCCAACTGAGTGTCAGGAAGAGAATTCAGGGAGTGGGAGTGTGCAGGAAGCTCTGAATGGACCTACTATCTCCCATGTTCCTCTCGTGGCCCTGTACTGCACCTTGGAAGGGACTCAGGTTCCTGTACTTACAAAGACTTCCATTCCTCTGAAATGCACCCGTCTTTTCCTCCCTGCACAATTCTGAAAATCCTCCAAACTGGGAGCTGTTGGGAGGGCCAGCATCAGATATACTCCTGGACCAGATCTGGGTTTGAGGTTTGTTTATCTAAGCCTTGGTGAGCTTACTTTCGGTGTGGCTCACGACATGGGCAGGACTAAGAAAAGAAAATCAGAGGTGAACTGAGGAGGGGCCTTCGTTTTAACCCTCACTAGGCTAAGAGCCTCGCTTCAGACAAACTCTGAATTTGCCCCAAATGAAATGAGCAATTGTTTTCTTTTGGGGGTGCGGTAGATGAACCCTGGGCCTCCCACATGAAGGTGTGCTGTACCACTGAGCCACACAATTAGCTGAGAAATAGAACCTTTCAGTAGCGATGCTGCTGAAGGACCCTCCATCCAAGCAAAGCGAGGCAGCTCCTCTGCAGGCACCGGCCCTACCCTCCAGAACAGAGGTGCCTGCGAGCTGCGCTGCCTGAGCGACTCCATCGAGGCCGCGGTTTCAAGGTGAAGTGACGAAAAAGGATGGGTACAAATTGCATTTCTGACCTTTGCCCCCAATTTCTCTCCACCAGGCAGATCAGAGGATGCAAAGGCTCAGAGGAAATCAGCGCCAATCGCCAGAGGAGGAAGCCCCGGAGCCAGAAGGAGGAGGAAAGCCGAGCTAGGCGGGCCCAATTGCACCGGTTCCGAGGGGTCTGAGGGCGCCCCGAGTGGGGATCTGCTCCCAGCGCGGCCCGGTGCTTCCAAGGTTTCTGTGGATGCAACGTCAGCCACCACCCAGGTGAGCTCCAGAGTACAGCCCCCTAAGCCCCACCGGGGCAAAGCCTCAGAGCCCAGCCGGCCTGGCAGGCCGGGAATCCACCCACGAGCATGCAGGGCTCCCCCAGGACACAGCTCATGCACCTTTCTGTGCGGAAGTCACTTCTGTGACAGTGTGAAGAGGAGCAATTACTCAGTAGTGAGCCACAGAGGTCACACAGACACCACACCCACCCCCCCACCCCCCAGCGAGACAGCCACGCTCGGACCCTCCACTACCACTGAGATGCAGTGACACTCAGAGGTCTTCTAGCCAAAATAAGTATCTTTAAAAACCATGTTTCCTGGGGCTGGGGATTTAGCTCAGTGGCATAAGCGCCTGCCTTGCAAGCAGGCAGTTGTGATTTCAATCCCCGGTACCAATAAAAAGGAAAAAGACAAAAACAAAAACAAAAAAAAAAAAACACATGTTTCCCCAAAAAAGGACCTAGCTGGAAAATAATCAGCCTGGAAAACTACAGGTGACAAATGCGAGCCACAATCATCATTATCTGAGCCTGTTTTTTGTTTGTTTGCTTGTCTTTGAGACAGGTCACCCTATGCAGTTCAGCTGGCCTTGGGCTCACTATATAGTCCAGACTAGTCTCGAACTTGTAAATGATTCTCCTGCCTCAGCCTCCCAAGTGTTGGGATCACAGGAGTGCGTCACCACGCCTGGCTCCAACAGGGTTCATGTCACTATTTTAACTATTATAGTGCAAGGTTGTTCAAAAAGATTTCATTATAGTTTTGGACCCAGTGGTCTGCAATTCTGCTCGGCACTTGCAGGCACCTCGTGATCTTTAGCAGACCCTTCCTGAGCCCACCAATCCAGTTCCCAGAGCGCTTTCCGGCTCATAGGACCTTGCTGGCTCTGCAGAGGCCTCCCTGCCAGTGGCTGTGGAGTTCTCCAGGAGGAACAGGCCCTCCAGGCCCCCTCTCACAGGCGTGTGTCTGAGGAGAGAAGAAAACTACGACAGGAGGATCCCCTTGAGTTCAAGGCCAGCCTAAACTACATACTGAGACCCTGACTCAAAAAAAAAAAAAAAAAAATTGGGTTTTATGAGATTTAGTGTGACTCTGATTTCTCACAGCTAAAATCACCTTTGGTTAGAGAGCCCCTACGTAGACTCTGCAGCTTTCAGCTCTGGCTCCAAGTTCCATGTTAGAAGCTCTTTCTTTTCCTCTTTTTCTTTTTTGTTGTCTGTGTGATACTGGGGATTGAACCCAGGGCCTTCACATGCCAGCCAGGCACTCCACCACTGCACCACATTCCTAGCCTTTTTTATTTTAAGACAGGGCTTCACTAAGTTGCCCAAGCTGGTCTCAAACTTGTGATCCTCCTGGCTCAACTTCCCTGGCAACTAGAAACAGGAACACATTCCACCTGCCTGGCTAGCTTTTTTTTTTTAACCTAGGTGGCCTCCGCCATCGCGGTTTTCATTTTACTTGTCTCAGTGGCACTCCAGCAAATCTAACATCTCGCTAGGGCTGAGAACGCCAGAGCTTGTGCTGTACTAGACATACTGGCACCATGACTATTAATTTCAGTGAACCCTAGTAAGAGCCACATCCTGAAGGCAGTGTCAGGAAAATTAAGCTGTGATTCCTCAAAGCCAAAGCAGGAGAGAGAAACCTGAATCCAGCAGTTGGCCCCCAGCCTAGTCTGGCCCTGAACACCAGCTCCCTCGGGCGCAGGAGAAGGCGGCGCGGGACCGGCTGCACGCACTGAAGGCGGAGAGGCGGCTGCAGGAGGTGGTGAAGAGGAGGAGGGCGCAGGACGAGCAGCGCCGCGGCCAGCAGGAGCCGCTGGAGGGCGAGGAGGCGGCAGGTCTGCGGCAGAGGCTCTCGGAGGAGCCCAGGTGGGTCCGCGCAGGGTTTGCTGCTCTCGCTCTCCCAGAGCAGTCTCGGCCGCTCAGTCCACCTCAGTCCACACTGAGCCTGACCCCCACCCCCACGCGGGCTGCGCGGGGCTCGGCAGAACGCAGCGGCCCGACTCCCTGAGCCGCGCGCCACCCGCCGGCCCGCCCGGGCCACTGCACCTGCGATCCCGTGGCCCCTGCGTGTGTCCGCAGCTCCAGGAGACCGAGCCTGGAAGAGCGGCGACCGCAGGAGGAGGCGGCAGCCGAGCGGCGGCGGGCGGCCCAGGACCGCGCGCGGCTGCAGCGTGAGGAGCTGCGCAGGGCGCTGCAGGAAGCGCAGCGCAGGCGGCAGCAGGAGATGGCGGCAAGAGCCGGTGAGCAGGGCGCGGGCCCTCCGTGGCGGTCTCCTGTAGGGACAGGGATGTCTTCTTCCTGCCGCGGGTGTTCCCATGTTCCTAGCCTCAGCAAGAGTGCATGAAGCCCCAAGCGTAAGCCGTGCTTTCCAAAGCAATCCTTCTGTGACCACAGTGAGCTGCCGGGCCAGGCCAGCGTCCCACGCTCCACTCGGGAACTACAGTGGCCTGGCCCCTCTGGCTTCCCACCCCAGCAACCCCACAGACACAGACCCCTGCAGCTTTCCTGGGAGAGACAGGGACTCTGGTGGGTGACCTGCGGCCACTTCCTGGTGGAGACACCCCAATTTCCCAGCCCTGATCGGATGGACGTGTTTCTCCAGCCTAGCTGCATTCCATCCACCCCATGCTGACAGACGCAGTAGGGTCTGGGTATATCCCTCCTGGGACTTTGTATTAATTTCACAGTGCTCTGCATAAAGGTGCTTGCTAAAGGACTCAGATTAGTACATTAATCCCCACCTAACCCACAGAGGGTCTGGCAGCCCAATAAACTGCAAAATTTCACAGAGTCCCTAAGAATCACAGACCAGAATGTAGGCTCCCCCGGGGGTTTAGCCCAGCGGTGTAAGTGCCCGCTTGACAAACTCAAGGTCTTGAGTTCAATCCCCGGTACCCTCCCCCCACAAAAAAGGGGAAAGAGAGAATGTGGGTTCCCAGCACTAAGGGTGGTTTGAGGAAATCCTTGTAAGTTTGAGACCAGCCTGGGCTACAAAGTGAGCCCAAGGCCAGCCTGAACCACAGAGGGAGACGTCTCAGAAAGACAGAATGTGGGTTCCCGTAGCAGTGCCTCTTGCTGAGCACACACACACACACACACACACACACACACACATACCCCGCATCCTGCAGAGGCAGAGAAGCAAAGGCAGAAGGAATTGGAAATACAGGCAGCAGCGGAGGAACACAAGCACCTGGCTGAAATGGCAAAAGAGGAGCAACCGGACTTCCAGTGGCAGAGGCAGGTTGCTGAGAAGGCACTGCTGCAGGATGAGGAGAGGCGGCAGCAGGAAGCAGCAGCCCGGCCAGCTCTGGAGGATGCCGACGAACAGGCCCAGGAGCAAGCCAGGTATTGCCTACATAGGCTGTCCCTGCTTGCACCACCTCTGAACAAGCACTTTCCCCTGGCTCCTCCTCTTGGCATACTCTGGTTTGGAAGACTAAAAGCCAAGGAGTGATCACACTATTCCTTTATGGCTTATAGAATGCATACTAAAGCTGGAGGCTAGAGACCACTCATCCCAATCCTCTGGTTTACCACAGGTGAGAAGGTGCAGGGCTGAGAGACTTGTCTCACGTGCATGAGGCCCTGGGTCCATCTTCAGGCAGGAGACAGAGAGACAGGAAACAACCGCCCCCGCCCACCCCTCCACCCCCCTGCAAAGCGAAAAGGATGTTGGTCAGGGCTGATCTGGTGGAGAGGGGCATGCCAGGACCCAATCTCAGACTCTCACTCTGAACCTGTGGCCTTCCTTGGTATCTGTCTGTGGACAGGATGTCATAAGTAGTGTGGTTTCAACACTCTATAAGTACGTCCGCTGTAGTTGCTGTAAGTTTCCCGTCTTAGTGAGGGCAAGCAGTCATCCCTGCCTAGATTAAAACACTGACGAGTGGCAGCACAACCTGGAAACACTGCTCCTGTCCAGCCTCAACAAGACACTTCTCCCCTTGAAGTATTTCACAGTTGAAGCTCAACCCTCGAACAACCTGTCCTAAGGGTTTTTCACAAACCTCCAGCTGCTCCTCTTCTGAGTCTTCTTCTACTATCTGAATTACAAAATGCATCAGCAGGTAAATCACTTCAAAACTGTGGATTCCATGCACTATAGCAGCGGGGTTGGGGTCACGACTAGAATGAGACTAAAACAAGTTATGTGAACCCGTCTCCCCCAGAAAGCTGACAGGAATAGGAGGGGAAATAGGAATTTTGTAAGACTAGTCCACGTGGCTAAAGGCGTGGGGATAAAGGCTTAGGCCTCAAATCCAGCTGGTGCCATCCATCTTCACTGGTGACCCCAGCCCAGCAACCTAACTACGCTAGGCTTTCCTCATCCCCAGAGCATCGGTGCCCCAGCGGCAGTCCAGGTCTAAGAACTGAACAAACCACTCCTTTCCTTTTATTCTGCCAGACTCATGATGCCCTACACATCAGGGGTAAGGTTAACAAGTGAACAAAGCAGGATCATCCACTGCATCCCAAGATCAGTGGCCCCATGTCTAACTGATAATCATTCAAGCCCGAAGCCCTACCACCTCACAAGCACCATTTCTGGATGGCTCAGTCCCTAAACCAGGGTATGGTTGTTTTCCCAGGCACAAAGCTGCTGTGGAGAATCATCTTGGTTTCTGTCAAGAACTCAATAAGGAAGCCCAGGGTCTGCAGTGGACACAGAACATTTCCAGACCGTGGGTTTATTCTTATTTCCAGTTCCTACAAACGCCCAGGCCATGACGCCAGAAGGATGCGAAAAGTAAGTTAAGAGTGATGACAGAAATTCCCTTTCATAATGGTATCCCTGAGCCCAGCTGGTCTGGTGCCATCTGGTTCACATCGAGCCATACCTAAGGTTTTCTCTACTCTGGAACAGATGTGCCCCTCCACATCTGTTCAACCCAATCGAATACCTCACCTACTTAAATCCTTCATGTCCTCTAAAACCACATAAATTCAGAAACTCTGGAACCTAAAGCAGCACACAATTACATAATTTCAGCCTGAAACACTAACAGTCTTAGGATACTCAATGTATTTCATTTCAGTGTGTTTGAAAGAGTGGCAGGCAAATGGAAATTCTCTAATGCAAATAATTCTGCATTGGCCAAGAGAAGGGAATTCGTATTTTCATAGACAAATCCCTAAAGGCTGGGCACACCTGTAACTGCAGCACCTGGGAGACTGACGCAGGTGGATACCAAGTCTAGGCCAGCCTGGGCTACTTAATGAGACCCTGTCACACACACACACACACACCAGACTGAGCTGTTTAATCACACACACACACACACACACACACACACACACACACACACACACACGGTCCCTTTATAAGGCAAAACCATGGCCATTTCATCCCGAGACTCTAAAATTAAATGTCTGTTTAGGAAAAGGTGTTTTTTAACTAGTTGATAATTTGTGCAAGGCAATCTCACGTCCTCACAGTGCAGATCTGGACAGTACTGAGTGAGGCAGCCGTCAGCACATGCAGCAGTGTAATAAAATGGTCCCACATGAGGCAGCAGACACATAAAAATTTCCACCATCAGAAACTTCCACTAATGCTTTCAAAGCCTGGAAATAAGAGACTTCGAGATTTTGCTAACTGTGCCTTAATAAACCCACCAACAGAACTTTTTAAAAATCACAGACACAATTGTTAAGTCCTGATTAGATGACCTTAGCGTCATTAATCGTTTGTCGTTTTTGTTTTTGAGGTAGTCTTATTGTGTAGTTCAGGCTGGCCTTAAACTCAATGCAAGTCTCCTGCCTCAGCCTCCTGAATGCTAGGCATTAATGTCTTTATAATGTTGAATAAAACGCTTGTAGGGCCAGAGGTTTTAGCTTGACCCAGCACAAGCGCTAGCTTGGCAAGCATGAGGTCCTGAGTTCGACCTCCAGTACAAAAAATAAATAAATAAATAAATCCTTTGTAACAAAAGTGCTACAGAATGATCATTAGAGGCAGAGAAGCAGCAAGATGTATAGGTGTTGAACTGAACATCACCTGAACCTACATTTTCCCACAGATTTCCATTGGCCTATTCTGTGCTCCATTGTCCATGATGAAAAAATGTTTACCTGTAATTCTCTCCAGTTCCTCATTAATGCTCATGCTTAAATTAGATGCTTAATTCCTTGTTTTATATAAAATGTAAAACAGCCAACACTGGATTTCTCAGTGAATTTCAATGTCATTTGGATTTTCCTCAAGCTTCTCGGTCCTATAACGTTCATTCATTCATTCAGTTAACTCGAAGTACTTAATAAGAACATCTCAGTCACGAAGAACACTATGAACCCTCAAGGGAAATGTCCCTGAAAGGTAAATGGCCAGCCCTGATTGCCCCCAGCTTTCAGTTAGGGTGCTGCAGTCAAGCACTGGACAGAATGTTCCCATGGCCCCTGAGTGAGAGTGAATGAATGACTGCTCCATGTTTTTGCTGTAAGCACCCATCTTACCAGCACTCTGACACAACATACATATTCCAGATGGAGCTGGCCTTGCACACTTAATGATTCTCCATTCTCAGGCATCCACCACCTCACCCAACCAGATGAGCACATTTTTATGCTAGCTATAGCAGAAAGCAGTGCAGTTAGAAAATTCCAATACGCTAAAAATAAGAAAACTACTTCAGTAGCTATGTTCCACCACCCAAATGCTGAGAGTTTAGAAATTCAAAATTACCAACATTCTCTGTTCATGAACACTGGACAGCTCCACAGGCAGGGTGCTCTTGAACTTAATACTGGTACAGGTAAGACCCATGAGGACTTCACAAAGCTGGACCTGATGCCATCACAGGTGCACACACTAGTGCCTGGTGCGGCTGAGACCCAGGCTCCAGCCCCCGTCCTGAAGAAGAAACTAAGAGTCCTGACTTATACCTACAACTTGCAATCCTGTTTGGTAAGCCAGTGACCTGTGAACACACCTAAGGCAGGTTTTCTTCGCTGTTCTCAAGCAGTCAGAAGACACTACTCAGGCAGCATCAAACTCACATACGCACAGGTTTGCTGGACTCCAGACTCACGACAGAATCAAGTAAAAAAAAAAAACCCTGAGGGCCAGGGATTTACCTCAGTGGCAGAGACGCTTGCCTGGAAATTCCAAGGTTATGAGTTCAATTCCCAGTACAAAAAAAAACCAAAATCCTCTTAAAGGAACAAAGTAATCTGGTATTTTTTAATCATACACAATGTTTAAAGATTATAATGAGAAAATATAAATCAAATATACCAAACTTAAATACTCTGTAAATTGGTTTTGATTTTGTTTTTCTGAGACAAGTCTCACTATGTAGTTGAGGTTGGCCTTGGACTACTTCTGGCTGGCCTCAAACTCCCAGCAATCCTCCTGTTTTCTCAGTGCAGGAATTACATGCGTGTGCCACACCTGGCCACTATACAGTACTGAAGATATACCATGTCCAAATAATTTCCAGTATCACACTAGAAAACCTTGTTTTAGGCATTTTTCTTCTTCCTATACAATGAAAATAAACATTAATACAGTTTTTACAAATATTGTTTATTTTAATGAAGCTGGTACACACAATGTCCATTTAAAACCCATATCCCAGGCCAAAAGGTACAAACAAACTCAAAAAGAGCAGTGTTCTTGGTGTATACACATCTGCATGAGTAATTTTATTAATTTTGAATGAAAATTAACTTTTCTGGGATCTTCTGACAAGATTTCTTTTAAATTATAAGCCTGTTTTCTCTCCAGCGGAGCCACCCTTGGAGCTGGTCACCTCTCCCATAGCTGTCATGTGGACGCCAAAGCTTGTTGTCCTCTTCTTTTGGTCCAGACCCTCAGATATGAAGCTCCAAGTTAGGAAAGGTCACTTTTCCACAGTTTGGTTCTCTGAAAAACTTCCACCTCCCATTGCAAGTCCTAGTCCAGGAGTGAAGCTATCACAAGCTCGAATCTCAGGGCTGACCGGAAAGCCAAGGGGATAGCACGGCCGGCCTTGTGATTGCGGCCTGCGGCTTGAACACAACTCAGAAAGAAGACAATGTGAAGGAATCTGAGGTCTGATCACCAAAAATCAGCACGATGAAAACAAACAGTGATGAGTCAGGAGCACTAGAATGCAGATTACCAGATGTTGTAAAGAGATGGGGTGCCGGTTTCATTTCCATTTTGAACACCACATTACAAAAGAACTATTTTTTAAAAATAAAAAAGAATTGAGGGAAAAGAAAAAAAAAATAAAAAGAATATCTAAAACGTCGAATGCCCCCCCGTTTGTTCCTGATAAACTTCAATCACGTCTTCTTCCTCCATGCCCAACTGCAAGAAAGAAGAATGTATTAGTAGCCGAACAAAAACCACTATTTTATTTTATTTTATTTTTTTGTCTTTTTCCTTTTTATCGGTACCAGAGATCGAACTCATGACTGCCTGCTTTCAAGGCAGGCGCTTATGCCGCTGAGCTAAATCCCCACTCCCCAAAAACCACTATTTTAAACTAGCTGCAACTATGACAGAATTTCTTTTTTTTTTTCCTGGTACCGTGGATCGAACTCATGATCTCGCACTTCCTAGGTGGGTGCTTGTACCACTAAGCTAAATCCCCCGACCCAACAGAAATATTTAAAGTGAAAAAAAGAAAAGAAAAGAAAAAAAAAACAGAAGAGGGCTAGGGATTTAGCTCAGCGGCATAAGCACCTGCCTTGCAAACAGGTGGTCGTGAGTTCGATCCCCGGTACTGATAAAAAGATTAAAAAAACAAAAGAGACCTACAATGAACCACACTGCCCCACAGCTGAGGACTCTCTGTACTTTTGCTGTTGTGGGAAGAACATACTGTGGCACAGTGGCCCCAGAGCCATCACGGCCATACAGAGGGCATGCTCCCAGGTCTGCCCAATCTTTTCTTACTTTACGAGCAACTTTCCCTGCAGGTTTATGCTGCACGCAAAATGAAGTCTACTGAGTTTTGGCACAGCAGGGGTTCGAACCCAGAGTGTCCCACTCAGTGGACAAGTGCTAACACCGAGCCACAACCTAACCCTGACCCACTTTGGTTTTCTTTATGTGCTTTATGTGTAACTGAAATCACTCTGAAAATTTTTTTCCTGATGACAGTGGTGGCTTTTGAGAAGCAGGAATTCTCTCCAAGTATTCAAGGTATATTTAATTTCCATTTTACACACACAAGCAGTTTGATGTACTCAGCATTCTTTACTTAGAAAAGAAAAAGAAAGTGCATACAGGGGCTTGGCGACATAAACACCAGTCCAACTCTGAGTGAAGTTCCCAAAAGGCTGGCCCTTCACTTTGCTCCAGCAATGGACAAGGTGGAAACAAAAAGAGGCACTGTTTCCAGGGAAAGCTGTAACACATCTCAAAAACAATGGAAAAATAAAAGGAAAATCAAGTTTTCTTCTTCTATAGTTGACATCTTTGTGGAGAACTATAAAATACAAAAATTTTTTTTTTGTTTTGACACAAGGTTACATTCTGTAACCTAGGTTGGCCTTGAAGTGTTCCTCCAGCCTTAGCCTCCCAAGTACTGGGATCACAGCTGTGGCCCACCACACCCAACAAAATTTATTAAGAAATCTAAAACTGACAGACTTTTATGAATTTATGATTTTAAAGTAATCATCAGACTGCCTCTAATATTGAGGCAATCTTGGTTGCAATACATACATGTATTAAAATAATCTCTTAACTGTATATACAACATGATGCATGTTAGAAGGAATAAAATTCCAATATCGTGGGGCTGGGGATTTAGCTCAGCGGCATAAGCACCTGCCTTGCAAGTGTGTGGTCGTGAGTTTGATCCCCAGTACTGACCAAAAAAAAAAAAAAAAAGACAAAAAAATACAATTCCAACATTGTAAGGAATTTTCCAATCATGAAGGCAGCGTGTCCTTATGCTACAGAGAAGATGACATCATAAGCTGCAGGAAGTCTATCAACAGAGGTGCACAAATGCCATTCTAAGTCCCCAGAGCTTGTGTGGGCGGAGGTGGGACCTGTGGAAAGCCCTGGACCAGACAGCTTTGGCGCTGACTTGCTAGCTAGGGTATGACCCGAAGCATGCATCTCCCTCTACTCTGGCTCTACTTCCTGTCTGCCGTGGGGTGAGCAGATAACCTGTCAGGCTAGAGCCAGGACTAAGGATTGAAACATGAGTCAAAAAAGCGCTCCTTCTTTCAGTTCCATGCTGTCCCAGCAATGAAGATATGACAAAGACATCACCTAAATACCAACTCTCCCCTTGTCCCCATGGACCCTACTGGTCCGCAATGCCCCCCAAAACAAAAACCTCTTCATTACGCAGAGGAGAGCCACAGTCATGCAGTGGGCATCTACTATGTGCTAGAGATCACGCTAAGTCAGGACGAGAAAAGGACAAGATGAGCCTTCAGTGCCAGGAAATGAAGTACTGAGAAGGTGGTGGTGGGCCACAAAGTAGACTGTTTCATGAGAAAGGATAGCCACATAGTTGCAAAATGTTTGCAAAATTTCATAATCGCAACACAAAAAGTAGTTACAGACAAAAAAAAGCACAGATGAAGTGATCAACATTCAGATCACCCCACAAGGGCCCCGTGCATTGCAGACACTGTGTCCAGGGTGTTCCAGAGGCACGGCAGCCAAAAGCACTCCTGAGTCCCATTGTGAGCAGACAGACCAGCAAAGGATTTTTCAGAAAATAATTAGTCTGTAGTCTTCAAAAATGTCAATGTATCCTGAACAACTACTTTAAAGATAACAACATGTCGTTTATTAACTACTGTTATTCTATTATTGTTTTTGTTTTTGTTTTGTTTTGTTTTTTGGTGGTACTGGGGATTGAACTCAGGACCTCACATTTGCCAGGCAGGCACTAATGCCGCTGAGCTAAATCCCCAGCCCTATTCTATTAAAAAATTTATACTAAAAAAAATTTTTTTTTGTTTTACTTTTTCTATGAATTAAAAAAAAGTCAGTGGGGCTGGGGGTTTAGCTCAGCAGCATAAGCGCCTGCCTTGCAAGCAAGCAGTCGTCAGTTCGATCCCCGGTACCGATAAAAAGGAAAAAAGACCAAAAAAAAAAAAAAAAAAAAAAAAGTCAGTGTGTAAGCCAGGCATGGTGGTATATGCCCATAACCCAGCACTTCAAAGGCTGAGGCAGAAGGATCTCCAGAAGTTTGAGGCAAACCTGGACTATTTAGCAAGAACGTGTCTCAAAAAAAAGTATAAAAGTCAAACAAAGGGGAAAAAAAAAAAAAGAGGAACTGTTCCAAATTCAAAATGATGAAAAGGACAACCTAAGGCTGGACATGGTGGTACACATCAGTAATCTCAGCACTCAAGAGTCTGAGGCAGGAGGATCACTGTTGTGTTCAAGGCCAGCTTGGGCTACACAGTAAGTTCAAAGTCATCCTGGACTAGTGAGATCCTATCTCACAGAGACATAATTGGGATAAAATGTCAAAACTAGGTTATAGATTAAAAGTGTTCTAATAGTGTTAAATTCCCTGTGATTAACAGTAGACTGTGGCTAATAAAATAATGTATTTTTTTAAAAAAGAAATACCTACTAAGCCAGGCATGATGGCAAGAACCTATAATTCAGCACTCTGGGAGCCTGCCCAATCAAGGGGTTTATCCAGACCCTGCGTCAAAAGTAAAAAGATGAGGTGGGAGAGGCTGTGGCTGTAGCTTAGTATGAAGGCCCTCCTAGATTTAATCCTTAGTGCTCCAAAAAACCAAAGAAGCAAAAACACTATACAGTGAGGAACACATGGTCGTATTGTATACAACCCATTCCACATGGTTTGGGGACAGGAGAAACAAGCCCAACACATGTACACAAACAGCTACAAGAGAGAAATGTAACAAGATGGTAAAAACAAATGAATATACGAAGTGAGATGGGAATTTTCTGTACTATTCTTGTAACTTTTCTGTCAATTGAAAAGTATTATGAAATAAACACAAAAATAGAGCAATGTCAAAAAAAATTGTCTGCCAGGCGTGGTTGGTGCACACCTATAACACTAGCACTCGGGAGGCTGAGGCAAGAGAACTGCTGTAAGATTAAGGCCAGCCTGAGCTACATAGTGGGTCCCTGTCTCCACCCCTAAAAAAAGAGAAAGATGGCATCTGGGACTACTAAAATTATAGTCAGTCCATTTCTACTTCCCTTCTTATTGACACTTTTGCATGCAACATACTGAAAGTTCAACCCAAACAGTTCTTTTTTCTGACAAATGATATAGCACATCAGAAGATATACCAGAAAAGGACAGTTTCATACCTTTGTATCATGAACCAAATTACTGAAGGGAAAATTTTATATAATTGATTCAAAAAGAAATTATGCTTACCTCTTTTGGAGTATGATTATCAGCAATCCTCTGACCTTCAAAGAGAAACCTGAGTGAATTCATTGGAACACCCTAAAAAAGGTTGAAAAAAAATGTAAGTGTGTATATATATATATGTTTATGTGTATGTTTAGAAACAGAGAGAAAAGGACAATGTACATACAAATCTTAGAAGACACAATAAGAACCCTGATACTCAGAAAAAGCAAGCCTTAACAGATACCCAGATCATAACCCTAGACAACAAGTTCTATCCTAATTACCATGGATTGAGTACCAACTATTTACCAAGCTGTTCACTATTTATCAAAACACTTACCACATAAATTACACACACAATTATAAATGTTCTTTGCAAATGACTCAAGCACTATCAATTTCTTACTTTACTATGAAGGAACCTAAGACTTACAGAGCCCTTACAGAGGCCACACAGCAAAGAATGCTAAGCCAAACTGTTTCCAACCCTGTGCTTCTCATCAACGATTCATTCATACTTCCTAGCATGAAACAAAATCGAAAGACACTGGGAACATCTCCACTAGCATCTGCGTACACAAGCAAAAGTGACTTTAGCTGGGCATGCATTAATACCAGCACTTAGGAGACTGAGGCAAGTTCAAGGCCAGCCTGGGCTACACAGAGAGCTCATGAACAGCCTGAATGAAAGCCAGCAAGACCCTGGCTTTATTTTTATTTTTTAGGTACCAGGGATCGAACTCACCACCTTTCGCTTGCCAGGTAGGCACTTATGCCACTGAGCTAAATCCCTGGTCCAAGACCCTGGCTTTAATAGAAAAACAAATTAATTAAAATTGAAAAATATAAAAGGACTGGGAATAGTTCAGTGCAAAGGCACTGGGTTCAAACTCCAGTACTGCAAAGCCCAGAGGAAGCAAAAAAGAAGGAAGGCAGAAAAGAAAATTTTTTGTCTTTTTCCTTTTTATTGGTACCGGGGATCGAACTCACGACTGCCTGCTTGCAACGCAGGTGCTTATGCCGCTGAGCTAAATCCCCAGCCCCCAGAAAAGAAAGTTTTGAAAAGGGATATAGCTCAGCAGCATAAATGCCTGCCTGGCAAGCACAAGGTCATGAGTTCAAACCCTAGTACCAAAAAAAAAAGAGAAAGTTTTGCTCAATACCTAATTAAATTAAGATTTTACTGTGTATGTTTAAATACTGTTCCAAAACATTAAAAAAATCAGGGCTGGGGATTTAGCTCAGCAGCAGAAGCTGCTGTTTGATAAGCGCCAGGTCAAGTTTGATACCCAGTACCAAAGAAAAAGAAATTAAAACTATTTCTCAATATATATTATTACATAAGTATGTAAGATCATGAAAACTTACCCTTCATCTGATTTAAATTGTTTCCAAAGTTATATTACATAATAAACTGTCTAACAAAGGTAGAATGTTCTCTGTGGGATTTTTTTAAAAAGCAATGTAATCTAAAAACAACTCTGTAATTCAGTAGAAGATAAATAGCAGCAACATATGCAACAACATAACAGGGCTCTGGGGTTCATAGAAGACTACGTGTCTGCCTAGCAGGCACAGAGCTCTGGGGTCAATCCCCAGCATTAAGGGGAAAAATGTTTTAATAAAAACCAATCTATAAAATAAAAATGGTGGGCCAGGGATGTAGCTCAGCAGCATAAGTGCTTACCTGGCAAGTGCAAGGTCCTGATTCGAGTCCCAGTACCAAAAAGTTACATACATATATACATACTAAATAAATAAATAAGATAAACGATTAAACCAATATTTCGTTTATACTTTTACGGTTTCTCATTGGAAGTGTTTGCAAGATCACATAAATTAAATTTTGATTTCTTGTTTGATCCCTATCATTAAATGTCAAAGCCTTTCTGAAGTATAAAAATTTTGCTTACAAATAAATAAATAGGTGAAAAAATGTTCAATATCACTGGTCATTCAAAAGATGCAAATTAAAACAACACTGAGATTCCACCTCATCAGAAAAAATGGCTAGTATCAAGAAATCACAGGGCGTGGCAGCTCACACCTGTAATCCCAGCACTCGGGAAGCTGGGGCAGGACAGATGCTAAGGCAGGAGGATCACTGAGAGTTCAAGACCAGTCTAAGCTACAAAATGAGCTCAAGACCAGCCTGAACTGCATAGTGAGACCCTGTATCCAAAAAAAAGAAATCGAGCAATGATAAATGCTGAAGGGGCTGTGGGGAAAAAGGAACCCTTCTCCACCGTTGGTGAGAGTGCAGACTGATACAACCACTGTGGAAATCAGTGTGGAGATTCCTCAGAGAACAAAGATTAGACGTTTTATTAAACCCAGTTATTCCCCTTCTGGGTATCTTCTCAAAAGAATTAAAAACATCATACCATAGTGGTATCTGTGTACCCATGATTATAGCAGCACAATTTGGAATAACTAGATCTTGGAAACAACCTAAATGCCATTCAACTAAGGGATGAATAAAAAAGATGTGTCATCTTTACACAATGGAGTACTACTCAGCCATAAAGAAGGATACCAGGGGCTGGAAGTTTAGCTCAGCGGCTTAAGCGCCTGCCTTGGAAGTAGGCAGTCCTGAGTTCGATCCCCAGTACCGATAAATCAATCCCCGGTACCGATAAAAAGGAAAAAGGAAAAAGGAAAAAAAAAAAAAAAAAGGAAGATAAACTGGAGCCTTTTAGACCTAAATGGATATAACCTGAGACCATACTCTTAAGTGATATGAAACAAATATGTGTAAACACTGTATTGTCTCACTAGTGAGAAACTGAAAGAAACAACATATGTATATGTGTATGTGTTAAAAATAGTCAACATACTTAAAGGGAAAGTTTTGCACTGATACTGTTTGGGCCTCTGAATGCACATGTCTTGTGCTCTGGGTGACTGATCTGGCCATGCCAATGTGTAATGTATGTACTACTGCTGCCCTGATTGACATGTTTTGAAATTTTTTTCTCTTTGAAATAAAATATATTTGAGAAAAAATCAATTTTTCTAAAGACTGTAAACTCCTGCACATGGCACGGTATCCTATAATCCCTATACTGTGGGAGGCTGAGGCAGGTAAATTATAAATTGCAGCCCATCCTGGGCAACACAGAGAGGATCGTGTCTTAAAAAAGGCTGCAGAGGATTTAGCTCAGCGGCATAAGCACCTGCCTTACAAGCACAGAGTCCTGAGTTCGGCCCCCAGCAGCAATAAATAAATAAATAAACGCTGGGGATACTGTACAGCACAAAGGACCTGGGTTCAATCCCCTGTATCACAAAAGATGAAGAAGAGGAGGAGGAGGCAGGTATTTAATCTTTACAAAAAGATTTAAAAAAGAAAACTGAAGTCCATACAATGCCTCCCTACATTAATTTCATGTAATTTAATTCTTCAACATTTTTCTTTCCTTCATGTTTTTGCAATTCAATTTTAGAAGATATGGATTAAACCTATTTCTTTCCTATTAAGTGTGTTTCACTTAAAACATACTTGAGTTATCTTCTCGATTTCAACTGCATGTACTAAAAAAAAACTGACTGTAATAACAATAGGACACATTTACTGAGCATTTTGGGCCTCATGTTAAAAGCCTTATGTAGGCAGCTTCCTTTTATATTCACAAAGTAAGCACTAAAATTTCTTAGTAACAAGGACAAAAGAACACAAGTTAAGCAACTCACTCCAAATCACAAAGCCAGGTGGCAACAGAGTCAAATACCAATCAGGCAGGCCACTAAGGGATGCCACTATGGTTTGCCTCTAGATGACCCCTCATGTCTCATGAGGTCATGGGAGGCAGGCCTTTTGAAGACAGCTAAGTGTAGTGTTTGCGATTGGTTCATTGTCCAGCACTGGCACTGGCAATGTGAATGCTGCACCTGCCCTGGGGTAGCCTGTAGGGAGCCCTTGAAACTGGAAATTGATCACCTGTAAGGCTAAAAGCAAGACCAGCCCTGAAAACACAGCTCAAAACAAGCCAGGTAAACGAACTGTTCCAGCTCCAAGAAGGCAAGGGGCCCAGGCCAGCCAAGCAAACAGCTGTTAGGCAGCAGAGTTGAAATTGACATCATCCGAGTGTATAAATAAATGGGCTATGGTTGAGCAGCAGCTTTTCTCCCATCGGAAGAGGATTCCCACCTGACACCAGCCTTCCTCTCTTTTCATTTTCTCATCCTCTCACCTTCCTTCCACCAGGAACATCTAGAACTACAGCTGGTTGGTAGAGTAGCTGGCACACAATGTAAGGCAGGGAAGAAGGTGTGCTCTTCCCTTATGCTTGTCCCTTTTTACTCCTCACCTTTAGTACTTGCTGCCACCATGAAGAGCTGCCCCCTGCCTTGGAGCCAGCCGAGTATGGGCTGAAATATCCACAAACTGAGAGCTAAGTGAACCTTTCCTTCTTTCATTTTGAGTGTTGAGTATTTTGTCCCAGGACTGAGAAAAAAGTAACCAAGATAGATGCTAATCCAGGAATCCAGCTCACAACTAGTGTAAGCTATGAGGATTCCGCATTGACAATATATGTATCTTTCTCTTTTAAGGGTTTTTTTGGTACTAGCAATTGAACTCACAACCTCACACTTGCCAGGCAGGCACTGCACCACTGAGCTATATCCCAGTCCTCTACGTGTATCATTTTAAAAGAAAGTTCTCTGATGTTAAAGATATGGAATAAAATTAGCAAAACCCTGTAATACTATGCAGGAAGACTAATGTTAGCACTTAAATTTAACATACAGCTGAACACTCATTTACAACCTTCAGTTACTTTCAAGCTAGTTCCACATCTTATGAATTCAACTTTGAAATGGCCCACAAGAGAGCAAATAGAATTACACAGCATTTAATAAGATCAGAATGCTTTCTCCTTGAGTTTCTAATGGTGAATAATAAAACAGGATCCTCTTTTTACAGATTTCAGATAAGAAAATTTATGGCAAAGCACTGTATTTCATACCAGAAGACACAAACCTGTCTTTGACAGTATGATTCTTTGAGTTTCTTGAGATGTGTTGTCATTTTCACTTTGAAATGAATCTCACTGCTATCCTAAGAAGATAAAAGAAAAACAATTATTCCTCTTTATATAAATATTTACTTTGCTTGAATTAAGTTCTTTATTTTTTTAAGGAGATAAAACAAAACATTAAAATGGAATAAAACAGCAAAAAGAACATTGGATTTCAAAAACAAGACAAAAGGAAATTCCCCACAGTTATATTGCATACTGTTACCCCCTCAACAGATGCTTGGACTACCTGCCCCAGACCTGCAGAGTCGATCAATCAATATGAGCATTAGATTGTTTTCGTACCTCAGTTGCTATCATCCCAGCCTGTGTTCCTCTGAATCAGCCAGTTGCCTAGGCAGGGAAGCCTCTTTTTGACTCCCACCTCGTGTACCGGCTGGCTCACAGGAAGGCATAGATTCACTTCCTGGTTCTCCTCCCAGCCCATAGCTGCCGCTGGCTCACAGGAAGGGCAGGCTAACTTCTTGGTTCTCTTCTCTGCCCTCATGGCTGCTGCTAGCTCACAGGAAGGGCTGACTTCTTGGTTCTCCTCCTGGCACATCAGGGCTGCCACTGGCTCACAGAAAGAGTGGACTGACTTCTTGATTCTCTCCAGGCCCACATGGCTTCCCCTGGCTCACAGGAAGGGCAGGCGATTTCTTGGTACTCCTAACACACATGGTTACCACTGGCTCACGGGAAGGGCAGGCTGATTTCGTGGTTCTCTTCCCCGCCCTGATGGCTGCTGCTGGCTCAAAAAGAATAAGCTGACTTCTTGGTTCTTTTTCAGGCCCATGCTACCACTGGCTCACTGCAATTATTTTTTAGTTGCTCCATAATAATATAAAAGTATAATATAAAACTTAAGAGAATCAAGTAGATTTCTCGATGTTTGCACAATCCAATTCCTATTTTTAATTTACTAATTAATTACATAGTTTATAAACTACCTACTATAAAAATTTGGGAAATAAAAGACAACTGTAGGATTTGTTCATTAAAGAACTTTTTAAGAAGTCTCATTCAAAACTTTAGTGGATGTGTTGAAAACAATCTTGTCATAGCCTGTCTGTGCCATCACAGAGAAGGACCCAGAGTTTGCTCAGTTCGAGAGCCTATAGGCTGAGTCCCTGTAGGAGGACAGCCTCGCACTATATCCAGCAGGGATGTCCACCCCGGCCTCCTTTACTGCTGTCCATATCCCACTGGGTCCCTGTGCCATTAAAAATGGGTTCTGGGCTGGGGATTTAGCTTAGCGTTGTGAGCACCTGCCTGGCAAGCGCAAGATTGTGAGTTCAATCCCTGGTACAAAATAATAATAAATAATAATAATAATAATGGGTTCTGACAGTGAGGAGGCTGTGCAGGGCCGGCATCACAGCTAAGGTTGGGGGCTGGCACCACCTCACTCACTCGAAGGCCCACAGGTGCTAGGCAGACCCCAAGGATCACATGGAAGCACGGGTTGTTGGCTAGAGAACCCCACCTGGAAACAGGCCCCCAAACTAAGTTCTTTGATTACACACATATACTAAAACTAGAAACATAAACTTTATCACTTATATTTTTCTACCAAAATAGTCTTTTTATCATTCTTTTTTTTTTTTTTTGGGGGGGGGGGTTGGGCCCAAACTCACGACCTCACATTTATCAAGCAGGCACTTACGCTGCTGAGCTAAACCCCCAGCTCTTTTTACCATTCTTAACAGGATTTTAAAAACACTTTATTCCCTAGGCATGGTGGCACACATCTGTAATCCCAGCCAAGGCACAAAGATCACTGTAGTTTGACACCAGCCTGAACTACAGAGCTAGGCTGTATCTAAAAAAATAAACAAAAACTGTCTATTCATCCTCAAAACTGCTTTATATCCATTAGAAAAAAAAATTAATAATAAAGGTAATCTGTGGTAGGTGTTAAAATTATCCACATAAGTATGTGTCATGATTTATGTCAGCAGCCCCCAAGCGTCATGCAATTAAGGACTTGACCAAATCTACCATTTGTGATCGGTATGTCTTGCACTCAGATTGGTGTTGTGAGTGCTACACTTGCCTACGTGTGGAGCCAGCATACAATGTAATGATGGGAAGAAGGTGTCTCTCTCTCTTGCCAGTTTGTACCTTGTTGTTTGTAGCAGCCATGAATGGCAGCCCCACCATGCCACCCTACCTTGGAGCCAACTGACTATGGAATGAAACCTCCAAGATCTGTAAGAGATCAACCTTTTTTTCCCTAACTTTGGGCATCAGGTATTTTATCTCAGTGATGAATAAAAAGTAACTAAGACAGAATGTATGTCAAAGAATATATTCCTTTATTACTGTACATTCATTCCACTGTCAAAGCAAAAGATACCATCAAACCTTTGAAAACTAACATACAACAAAAAGTAATCCCAATGACAATCTGCAATGTAAGTGCCACTGCTGCCCTGATTCTCATGTTTTGAATTTTTCTCTTTGAAATGGATTTGAAAATAATAATAACAATAATAATAACAAAGTAACCCCAGCCAAACATGGTGGCACACATGCCTGTAATCCCAGCATCCAGGAAGTTGAGGCAGGAGGATCGATGTGAGTTCGAAACTAGCTTGGGCTATGAAGTAAAGTCAAGACCAGCCCAAATTGCATAGTGAGATCCTGTCTTAAAAAGATGAAAAAACCAAGAAGTAACCCCAGCCAACTGAAGAGCCATTAAGATGATGGAATCTAGACAAGTGGCACATACCACAAAATTCAAGATAAGGTACTTACTCCTCTCACACTGCACTACCCCACAGGATCCCTTTTGTCTCACGAGTACAATGAGTAAACTGAATCAGTCAAACTGATGCGTGGGACAACAGACTTTTCCCTCATCCAGACTGCCAAGCAACCACTGAGAAAAGACTGGCATTAAACACTGCAAAATCTCAGAGATATCCCTTAGGAGCATACTTCACGTCACCAAATATGTAGCATATGTTTCATACTAGGATATCTTTGGAGGGAAGAGATAGAGACAGGGTTTCATTACATAGTTCACACTAGCCTCCAATTCATCATGGAACCCAGGCTATTCTCAAACTCATGGGGATCCTCCTGCCTCAGCTTCAAGTGCTGCAACTTCAGGTGAGTGCCACCACACCTAGCTTAGGTTTTACAACTTCGTTTTCCATAGATAACAGGTAAAATTTCTATCGCATACTTAATATAATACATATTAAAATTATTTTTAGATGAATTCAGATAGTTAACATTAAGCTTTTTTTTTTTCTTTTAAGGCAGGGTCTTTCTATTGGGTTGAGACTGGCCTTGGGCTCATTTTGTAGTACAGTCTAGTCTTGAACTTTGCAAAGATCTGGCTCCCTCAGCCTCCTCAGTGCTGGGATTATAGGAGTGTGCCACCACACCCAGCTTATTTCCCTTCTCTTTAAGAGAAAAAATTTCCTCTTCCTCTTAGGATTAGGTCCTTAAAGGCAAGTTTTGACCATATTTTTTTAAAAAGATGAATAAATTTGATAGTATAAACCACCCATACAGCAAGACACCATAAAGAAAAGTTAACACACATCAGTGTAAATATTTACAATATATGTAACAGACCAGGGAATTCAAAGTAATATAAAGAATCACTACAAACTGATCATTTTTAAAAAGTCATACATAGAGATTACATATAGACACATACAGGATACCAAAACTGACAGCCCGAAAGCCCATGCTATCCATACTCAACTAATTCTTCCTAAGTAACAGTCTGGGGCAAAACACCCAAAGAAAAATTACTCAATATGGACTGGGGATTTAGCTCAGCGGCATAAGTGCCTGCCCAATATGATGAAAGATGTAAATGCAGGAGTTAAACCTGTACAATCCTGCTGGTCCGATGGCAGTGGGTTATCAGAACTTATTAACATTAGTGTCACTAAAGTTGGTATACCACCCCCCCCACTGCTAAATTTGACTGGCTTTAAAAAAATAAATAAATAAAAATAAGTCTGTATAATCCTTTGAGAAAACTATAGGGGTAAAATCTTTGTGACCCTGGGTTAGGCAAAATATTTCTTCTAACTGCAAAATCACAAAGAACAAAAGAAAAAAGTTTGGTTTTTTCCTTCCTTTTGGTCTATTTGAGACAATGTTTCACTGTGCAGCTCAGGCCAGCCTTAAACTCACTTTGTAGCCCAAACTGGCCTCGAACTTGCAATGTTTCTCCTTCCCCAACATCAGTCCCGAATGCTGGGATTACATATGTGAGCCACTATGCCCGCCCTGAAAAACTAAGTTTAATTCATAAAAAGGAAAAGCCATACGTCCCAAGAGACATGACCAGGAAAGTGAAAAGACAAACCCCCCAAAAATTTGCCCATCATATATACACGCCTACCACGCAGAATATATTAAGAACTATTACACAATTAAAAATAGAACTCAATTTAAAAATGGACAAAAGAGCTGCATGTGGTGGGGCAGGCCTATAATCCCAGCACTCTGGAGGGTGAAGGTTAGGATTAGGAATAGGAGGATTATTGCGAGTTTAAGACCAGCCTGGGCTACAAAGTAAGCTTAAGGCCAGTGAACTGTATAGTGAAACCCCTGTTTCAAAAAGAACAACACCCCGGTACCGATAAAAAGCAGAAAGACAAAAAAAAAAAAAAAAAAAAAAAAAAAGAACACCAATAAAAAGCAAAAAGACAAAAAAAAAAAAAAAAAAAGAACAACAAAAAGCAGCAAGAACAAAAGATCTGAATTGTATTTTTCCAAAGAAAATGTACATATGGATAATAAATACATTTTAAAATGCTCAATATCATAGCTGTCAGAAAAACGAAAATCAAAACCACTATGAAACCAGCCATGGTGACACACACGTTAATTCCAGCTGGAGGAATTACTCAGGAGGCTGAAGCAGGAGATCACCACAAGTTCAAGGCCAGCCTGGGTTACACAGTAAGTCCAGGCAAGACTGACTGCACAATGAGGCTCTGTCTCAAAAACAAAACAAAACAAAAACAAAACCACAGGGGCTGGGGATTTAGCTCAGCAGCATAAGTGCCTGCCTTGCTAGCAGGCAGTCATGAGTTCGATCCCTGGTACCCATAAAAATGAAAAACATACACACACACACACATACACACAAAAAACGAAAACCACAATGAGATACCACTTGATACTGCAATGACTGTAATAAAAAAGACAGATTTAAAATGTTGACAAAAAGAATATGGAGAGGGCTGGGGATTTAGCTCAGCAGCTTAAGTGCCTGCCTGGCAAGCACAAGGTCGTGAGTTCGAATCCCTGTATCAAAAAAAGGGAGAAAAAAAGGAAGAAGAATATGGAGAAATTTCCAGTGGGAATGTAAAGGGCTATACAGACTTTAATGAAAATTTTGGCAGTTCCTCAAAAAATTAAACACACAGTCAGAATATTAGACCTAGCAAATCTATTCCCAGGAAGCAAGAAACTTATGTCCACACAAAAGCACACATGAATGTTCACAACATTAGTAGCCACAATAAGGGAACAAAGTAAGTGTCATCAACTGATAAATGAGTAACAAAAATGCCTTCTATCTAGACAATGGAATATTAATCAGCCATGAAAAAGAAATGAGGTGCTACTATATGCTATGATATGGATGAACTTTGAAAACACGCTCATGAAAGAAGCCAGGCACAAAGCCCACATATTCACTTACACACAACATCTGGAATGAGTAATTTACAGAAAAAGCAGAAGAGTGGTTGCCAACAACTAGAGGAACAGTGGGTGGGACGTCTTTCCAGGGTGATCAAGTGTTGTGGAATTAGACAGTGGTGAGGGTTGCCCAGCCTTACAAATATACCAAACCCACTGCATCCTATTTCAAGAGTGTGCATTTGAGCTGAGAGTGGTAGCACACACCAGTAATTTTGGCACCACACAGGCAGAGGTGCGGGACTGCAGGCCAGCCTGTGCTATACAGTAGTGAAGTCCCGGCCAGCCTGAGCTAGATATGAGACCTTGTCTCAAAAAAAAAAAAAAAAAAAGAGAGAGATGGGCATCATGGTACACACCTATAATGCCAGTAGCACTCAGCAGGCCACCTACCGCAAATTCAAGGTCAGCTTTTGCTATACAGTGAATTCAAGGCAAGTCAGAACTACATAGGGAGGCCCTGCATCAAAAACAAAACAAAACAAAAAAAGTACTGCACTGGATGATATTGCTCACTGTCTCTTATTAAAAATTTTTCAACGAAAGGCAGTGACAGAGTGGGAAAAGGATATGAATGCACAACTCTAAACACAGTTGACAAAAATTACATGTTATTAATAGAGAAATGCAAAATAAATATTTTATCTATGATATAAGCACAAAAGTAAAGACTGCCCCTCTTCACGGGTTTCATGAGCTGTGATGGAGGAGACCAACATCGCACTACTGCAGTTCTCCCATACTTGAAAACAGTGTGTGTGATTAAGGAGAAACTAGGAGGACTCACTGATCCAATGATCAGATCCCCTGCCTACCTAGGGTCACATGTCAGAAAGGCTCAGCAAGAAGCCAGGGATGCCTAGGGGACACAGGAGGAGACAGGAGAAGGGGAGAGGAAGGGATCACAGCAGGATGAGGACATGGTCCCACTGCGCTGCAGTGGCCCTGGCATTACAAGGGAATAGTCCCCACCCCTGCCCACAAAATACAAGCAAGAGTAAGGGAGATGAAGGTGCTCTAAAGCCGCCTTGCAGAGTGATTTAAACATCATGTCAGCTACTCTTGCCTCCAAGAGAAGCATGCATAATCGATGTCATTTTTAATTAACCTGCCTTTTTATTTTGTCTTTATCTTTTTTATTGGTACCAGGGATCGAACTCACAACCACACACTGGCAAGGCAGGTGCTTATGCCACTGAGCTTAATCCCCAGCCCTAACCTGCCTTTCTTAAAACATTATTTCCCCTGTGTGCAAGAAATTATCCCCACATTGGAAAAGTAAAAGCAGAGAAATAAGAGCACTCACCTGTCCAATGACTTTGAGTTTAATATATTCCCCTTCCTTCTTATCCCCCAAATCCTCAGTGGAAGGTTTTGCCTCCTGAAAGAAAAGCAAAAGTCAAGCCAGAAGTTCCCATCGGATGCTTCCCCAACAGGTCTTCCACCAGCGCAGGAGGTAATAACAAGAATCAATGATGGGGACCACTTCCAATTAGAAGTTTCTACACAACAAGGGAATAACCAGCAGAGTGAAGAGATATCCTGCAGAAGGCGAGAAACCATGCCAAATAATCTTCCAACAAAGGATGATTATCTAAAATGTATAAAGAACACAAAGACCTAACCAAAAAATCAAATACCTTAATTAGTAAGCAGGCAAATGAGCAGCTACTCTCTAAAAGAACAGGTACAAATGGCCAATGAGTATATGAAAAAACTCAGGCCAGGTGTGGTATAAATGTCTGAAGACCCCAAGTTTAGGGCCAGCTTGGTGGACACAGTGAGTTCAAGGTCAGTATCAAGACCCTGTCTCCAAAAAAAAATTCAAGGGCCTGAGATTTGGCTCAGTGGCACAGCACCTATTTGGCAAGCACAAGATCCTGAGTACCATTCCCAGTACAAAAAAAAAAAAAAAAGAAAAGAAAAGTTCAACATCTCTAGCCATTAGGGATATGCAAATCAAAACTACACTGGGATTCCTTCTTGTGGCTATCATCAAGACCACAACAAACAAAACATGCTGCTAGGGCAAGGAGACAGTGGGGCAGGGCAGAGCCTCCCTACATTGCTGGGGGGTATGAAAATACACAAGTACAGCCACTCGGCAAATCAGTATAGTATAGATTCCTAAAAAACCTAAAAATACAGCTACTGTTTGCTCTAGCCATACCATTTCCTGGCACGAATCCAAAGAAGTTAATATCAGCATGTGACAAGGATACTTGCATTCCCATTTTGTCCAATTCATAATAGCCAAGAAAGGGAACCAGCCTGGGTACCCTCTATAAAAATCAATCAAAATGGATCAAAGACTAGATATAACACCTGGAACCAGTAGGGGAAAACTCTATAGGCTAGCTTGGGCTATAGTGAGACCCTATCTCAAAAGCCAAACATGATTATATCAAATTAAAATCCAGAAGTTGCTACACAGCAAGGGAAAACAATCAAAAGAATAAAAAGCCTACAGGATTGGAGAAAATCTTTGCCAGCTACTCTTCCAATAGGGGATTTATAGCTAGAGTATATAAAGAACTCAAAAAATTTAATACCAAAAAATGAAATAGCACAATCATTAAGTAGGCAAATTAAATGAACAGCTCTTTCTCAAAAGTAGTACAAACAGGCAATAAGAAAAAGGATTCAACATCGTTAACTATCAGCCATATACAAACCAAAACTGCACTGAGAGTCCATCAAGAATACAAAAACCAAAAAAGAACTGGGATGGGGAAAAAGAGGAAAAAAAGGAAGGGGAAACACACACACACACACAAGTACATAGCTAGGGTAATTGCACTACTGATCCTATTAGTCCGGAGAAAGAAACTGTGATTGCTTACATTCTTTGATCTGTTTTGCATGCCTGTATCTCACAATCTGAGCAACTATTCTGAAGGTAACAATATGCAGTATAGTGACTATTGTTAATTTTCTATCCGCTTGTTTTGAAACCCCATAGTTTTTATTGTTTTACTTTCTTTAAATCTCTTTAAAATTAAATATATATATATATATATAAACTAGTAAGTGCTGGTGAAAATTCAGGGGTGGGGTGGGGTGGGGTAGGGAGAACTCTTTCACCTCAACAGTAGAAATAAATATAAATTAGATCAACTACCATGGAATCAGTAGAGAGATTAAAAACTGCAAATGGCCCAGGGATGGTGGCATGTACCTATAATCCTCGAATTCTGAAGACTGAGGCAGGAGGATCAAAAGTTCAAGCCCAGCCTTGGTGCCTGTCTATCCACAGTAGAATGGGTAAACAAGATGTGGTGTATACACCATGGACTATAATTCAGCTGTAAAGGAGAATGAAACCATGTCCTCTGCAGGAAAGCGATGTTCTAGAGATCACCGTGTTAAGGGAAATGAGCCAGACTCCCAAGAGCCAGGTGTCACTGTTCTCTCTAACACTTGGACTCTAAGAAATGTACATGAGAAAGGAACAGAAACTATTAGAGTACAGGAGTAAGGGAGGAGTGGAGGAGGGGAAATAGTAAGTAGTAAAAAATATACTACACCATACAACCCAGTACTTTGTAAAATTACTTGGCATTTATTAATAAAAACATATTTTTTTAAAAGTTTCCATGTTATTTTAGTTACTCATTTATGAATAACCATTACTTCCCTTCAGCATATAGAATCTGCATCTAAGAATACAAAGTGGGTTTATTTTCCTCGCCAGCCAAGCAAAGTTAAGTCACTCTCCCAAACACTGGTTCACCAGAAATCAAGACAGGAATTTAAAAAAAAAAAAAAAAAAGAAAGAAAGAAAGGAATCTTTGTCATTACCATATCATCCCCAGGTATGTATACAAGCATGAGGTCCTGAGTTTGATTCCCAGTACACACACACACACACACACCAGGGTATGGGATCTGCTAGGACCTTATTATACATCAAAAGTGCCTGAAGGACTTTTAGAAACAACTGCCAAGCCCCACCCCTTTTCTACTTGCTAGATCTGGAGCAGGCCACGAATTTGTAACAAGATGCCAGCTGCTGCCATGAATTCTTAGCTAGACACTCCCAGGTGAAGATCATCCTCTCACATCCTACGGCCTGTATACTAGCTACAGAAGTGCACCAAGATACATAAATTAACCATGCAGCACAAGCAAAGGCTATTCAGAAAATAAAATAGCATAGGAAAGTATTGGCCTAATATAGTCAAGACAAATCAGTATTTTATTTTAGACTATTTATGATTACACGTTCAGAAGACAAAGCTGGCTGGAAACAAAAATATTAGACGAATTAATCTGAAATTTGGGGGCACAGAATAAGTAGGAAAATTTGCATGCCCTTAATCCCAGCACTCAGGAGAGGTTGAGGCAGGAGATGCCTGAGAGCTTTAAACCAGCCTGGGCTTCACAGTGAGTTCAAGGCCAGCCTAAATCATATCTTTGCCTCAGAGAGGGAGGGAGGACCCACAAAGGTAAGAAAAAGGTGATCCAAGAAGACAAGAGGATTACAAAATAAGTTTAAACTTCAAGTTTTTATAAATAAAAAGGGAAAGATGAATTGAAGAGAGAGGAGGCAAATGGGGGAAGAAGCAACACAGATCATGACAGGTACAAGTAACCTATCATGAATGTTACTATGTATACCTAAAATGTACCAATAATTTTTTAAAACACACACACAAAGATATACTAAAAAAGCGAATGAAGAAGATAAATTAGTTGATGCAACTTCACCACAGAACCTCTCTAGAATAAGGCCACTGTTTTTAATAACAAAGCACCCTGGGGAGCCAGGTGTGGTTCCACCTGTAATCCCAGCACTCTAGAGGATTGTAGTGAGTTGAGACCAGCCTGGGTTACAATGTGAACTCAAGGCCTGGCAGACCAGCAAGCATAGAGACCCTGACTCAAAAAAAAAACAGCACACTAGGGTGCTCAGGAGGCTCAGGAACTGTTGGGAGTTGGAGGCCAGCCTGGGTCCTAAGACCCTGTCAGGAGAAGAAAAAAAAACATCACCATTTTCAGCAGCATAAGCGCCTGCCTTGCAAGCACTTCGTCCTGAGTTCAATCCCCAGTACCAATTAAAAAACAAAAGTAACTTTCTCCTCCATCTGCCATACCTCAGTCTGATCACCAAATTATCCACTAATTTAAATATACCCCTTATTATTTTTACTAATTTTAAATAGTTAATTCATATCAGTAAAAAGATAACCACTTTACCAGTCAAAAAAACACCAATTCCTGTGTATCTCATGCCAGTAACTTAAAATCACCAAATTCTATAGAAACTTAGCATAGCAAAGCTGGGCATCAGAGTGCAGGCTCAGGCAGAAAGATTGCTGCCAAGTTTGAGGCCAGCCTAGGCTACACAGTTCAAGGCCAGCAGATAGACAAATGGACGGACTGGCAGACAGACAGACAGACAACTGCAACAAACCTAAAACCGCTCTTTACCTGATATAACAGCCTGGAGCAGTGACCCTGAAGCTTTTTGAGCTTTTGATGATAAGATCAGCCGCTGAGGTGCCAGGGCCATAGTTTACCACCAGTGGTCTAGAGTCTAAGGAAACCCTTATACAACGAAGCTGACCTCGTTAGTATGAAACTTTGCCTGGCTTCATTCTGCAGTGCTTTCAACATCTGCTGACCAGTGAACATTCTGGCAGCCTGCAAAACTAACCTCCTTCAAATACAGTCTCACCACCACCTTTCCTGTAAGCTATATATGTTGTTAACACTGCTTCATCCTTCAAGCATCTAGAAGGCAAAGACAGTTCATTCCCTTCAGTGAAGGGCAATAAATCCCAAGCAGGGAGCCTGTTCTCTTCTCCTGAGCAGCTCTGTAAAGTCAACAAAATCGCAGGGCGCCTTCTCCAGAGCAACAGGAGGAGGGCACAGTGCACAGCCACGCCCACATTGCTCAGGGAGACCAGCTGCTCAGCTGTTGGGAGGAATAGGAGCGCTTCCCCCATGGACCTTGGTCCTGCTGCTCCAGGACTCTGCCCTAAGCCCTTTCCCCAGGCCAAGGCTAAGACCAAAAGCCCAGAACCAAACCGCACAGGACTGTGCTTAGTACTTAATTAAAGCATTACACTCAATTCTCATTTTTTTTCTTCACTATTCACTTTACAAACAGCAATTCTACTAAGTTGGACTATGTGCCATTCTGTTACTGGTGTATTTGCTGATCCCTGATTATGTCCATCTTCAGTCCCCTAGCACCTGCTTCCTTTCCCTGGAATGAATGTGTGTGTGTGTGTGTGTGTGTGTGTGTGTGTGTATGCATACACATATACACATATATATTTATATACTTTTTATTTGTATAAAAATAAATACATACAAACACTGGGATTACAAGCATGCACCATGATGTCCAGCTCTCTAGATCTCATCTTCAGC